GTAACTTTCCTGGCTGTAGGTCATCTACAACCTGAATGGGAAGAGAAAGAAAAAGAAAAAACGTTTCATCACAGCTGAGCTTCTAATTGAGCTAGCTGCAGCAGGTCAGTCACCCAGCTTTCTGGTGCTTAAAATGTCCTCCGAACAAACGACTGCTGAGCAAAAACCGTATGAGTTATTCAGAAAATTTCTTCACCGTGAGCGTCAGCAATCCTTCAACTCCAACTATGCCAACTTTGGTGTATGTGTGTCTTTCAGAACAATATTTATGACGAGTTTAAAACACATACTGTCAATCGTTTTTCTCCCCTCTTCTGCTCCAAAACCATTGAAAAACGGCTCTGATTTTGATCAACTTTAGGTCGGTCTGGAGGGTTTTTAAGGAAAAGTATTAATCCTACCGTAATTCCGAAGACATTGTGCGGGTCCAGAGGTTTCAGTCTACAAACTGACCAAAAATGGTGACCCTAGCTATAAATATGTGGCCGTGAGGGCGAGTTTAAAATGTTTTTGGGTCTTAAAAAAACGGCTGCCTCACACTCTAGCTTTTCAGTCTCTCCACTCTAGAAGGGTGGATTTTGCTAAAACTTTGTGGCGCTTGAGGTCTGATTATACAAAAACCGTAGCAGTTATCAACATGCCGTCTTCAGTTTTATGCAGAGGAAGGATTTATCTACAAACTGAGCTTTAAACTGTTTTTCTAAGTGAATGTATGCCGACACAGTGAAGCGCTGTTTTTTATGCTTTTTTTTACCTCTCCCCATTCATTTCCTATGGGATTTTTTTGCGACGTTTTCGCTAATAATTCGCGAACCTTCGGACTAATGAGAAAGTTTTATACAAGCACGCATCGCACCATTGGTCCCGACGCGTGTGCCAACTCTGGGCCCGATCCGACAAACCGTGCGGGACTAGTTACGCGCCGAAGTTTTAGGGGACGAGGAGAACTATAAGCTATAATAATAATACGCGGAATAAATATGTGCAATAGTAATAGGTGGGCCATGCCTTCGGCATGTGGCCCCCCTAATGACGTGATTGCGAGGTGATTGTTGTTTATCGCATATTGAGTTTCTTTTTGGTTGGTCTAGGTCAGATTGGTGCAACCGTGCGCTGAGTAGGATCGGATCTGATGGAGTCAAATGAGACTTGTTTCCAACCCTGTGATTAATGCAATGGGTTTGTTCATTGTAGAAAGAAATTGATACCATAGAGGTTGTGCCCTACATTTAAATTTTAATGAAAATGAATGATGCAGGAAACAAAGTGGACTGATTTGTTTGTCTGTGGACTTCAGGCAAACAGCAACATGATCCATTACATCTGAATAAGTAAATAGAAATCGGAAGCAGAAGGTCTGAGAGACAAAACATGCTTTTTTATAATATATATATATCAGGGATGCCAACCATCCTGTATTCAGTGGAAAAGGAACGCACTTTGTCCCGTATTACTGTGAGAGTAAAAAAATTGTAAAAATCAAGTAGAAAATGAAGAACAAGGGCACATTAGATACAAAACTTGCGGTAAACTTGTTCCCGGGCCCTGTCCTGCGTTGTGCCCAATGAGCTGACAACATGTATGTAACAATCCAGAATCCCCTCATCGCACTGGTCGAGCAAAGTGTTGCTCACGGAGACGATTACAGAAGATAACAGCACAGTATGGGGGACGAACGGAGTAATTTAAATGCTGCCGCTACTTTACTCAGCTTTACTCTGCAGAACTTAAGACAAACAAAACCTCACTGCTGCAAGAGCTCAGAGGAAATACAAGTGGGACAAGTAGGCTATCGCCACATAATGGGGCATTGAACTAATGATTTTCTGTTTTCTATTTTACAACTGTAGCCTACAGTCATCGCCTTTAAGGCACAAATATGTTTACAAGTTTGCTGTTGCACCAAAAATGTATATTTCATATTCATTTTTACACTTTGAAGTTAAGCAGGACAGGCTGATTTTTAAATACTCAAGAGATATATATATATATATATATATATATATATATATATATATATATATATATATATATATATATATATATATATATATATATATATATATATATATATATATATATATATATATATATATATATATATATATAATTTTTTTATTCATTTATTTATTGTTATTCTAATCCGCTTTTTATCATAGGACAATCTGATAACGTTTAGGTAAAAATAGTGTAGCTGGCCCTTTAACCTGTGTCGGTTATTAGGTGGGAGGGATCGAGTTTCTTTTCTAACCAATAGGAAACCGGCTTCCTTCCAGTCTGGTTTTGTGATTGGACATCAGTGAAGTCACACACGTATGACGTCGCAGGGACCCTTTGAGGGGAAAAAATAGCTTCTATTTTAACCAAGCCGCCTCCCAGACTTTCTGCCAAACTCATTCTGCTTGTCTCAGAGGGACACTGACTAACTTAGGAGCTGTGATGTGACTGTGGCTTTAACATCGGCCAGGAAGCAGGAAATGTTCTCTAGGAGGGGGAAGGACCAAGAGGAACGGCAGACCCCTAAGTACACCTGTGTATGTCCTCTGTGCTCTTGGCCTCTTGCGGCATTATACATTTCTTTATGGGCAGTTGTTGTCGTTAGCAGGCTAGGCGGCTAACGTGCTAGCCGATTAGCTGTTGAGTTTTGAGTCGGGTTCAAAGGAGAGGTTTACCGACACCGACTCCTCTATTAAGTTTAGTTTTGAAGCTGTTTCTGTGAGCTAGAAAAGTTCCCAAAGCTGACTGTACCTCTGTAGAAACACTCATCTATTCATCAGCACATGTTAACCCTCTGTTTAACGAGTTTGGGCTCAACTCAGTTGTTTGTCAGACCAAAATATTAGATTTCTATGCCTTTTATTAATCATATTTTATATACACTTTAGGTTTTCTCTTTATTAAAGGCTTTACTAAAATAAAGCAGGTCGACTGCAAGCAAAGTTATAATGTTATAGATTTAACCTGCTGATTTTAGCAGGTCTGAATTTCTACCAAAAAGTTGCAACCTGTCAAATATTAGCAAAGGATCTTTTATTAAAAATTGGGACTGTGTGACAAAAAAATAGGACTTTCCTTACATTGAAATACAGATGATACTTAAAGGACGTAAATCTCTCATCAAATTTCATTCAGTTTTTGCATTTTTCTACCTTTCTCAGAAGAATGAACACTATATGCTGTTTTGCCTTCAAGAGACCAAACATTTCAAACCATAAAAATGCCAAAACATCTTTTTCGCTTTAGATTTTGACAAATGACTGTTGGTGATTTTTTTTTTTCCTGATTCCAGTGATGACAGGAACCTAAGAATTATAGAAAATCTGAAGTAAACATACCTGTACAATTTTATGAAGCCTGAGATTTTTGTTGCAGGTGTATGGTCTGGAAATTTAAAAACTGTTTTAAATTGCAAACTTGAAATATCAATAAAAAAGTAAATCCCTTTATTGTCCTTTAATGGGGAAATCACTCTCTGCATTTAACCCATCCCCTTGGGAAGCGGTGGGCTGCCGTTGTGCGGCACTAGAGGAGCGTGTGGGGTTAAGGGTCTTGCTCAGGGACCCAGGGTGGAGGCTATAGGGATATATCTGGATACTTCTAACCTTCTCATAGCACACACACTCTGCGCTAACCAATAGAACAACACTCCCCCATTAACACATTAACTAGCACAATTGTTCCTCATAAAAGCTGAGCATAGAGCTGCAGTGGACAGAATGTGCCTTTAGATGAACCTGCGTCCTGCTTTAGCATGTTGTCAGAAGCCATTATGATCTAATATTTCTTTATTGAGCCCTAGTGAATCTTTATTTTGATTTCCTTTGCATATTTAAGGGGGATGATTTTGATTGTTTACATCATGTCTAGTTTGTCAAACATTTGCTTATAGTCGCTACACCAGCAACACTGGGAAATCTAAATCTAGTATTTTTTTCCTAAAATAAGTGCATTTGTTCTTGGATCGAGGAGGTAATGGAGACATTTTGCCAATGGAACAAGACAATATACACTTAAAATAACAAAAAACACAATTTTATTGTCTTATTTCAAGTGCATATTATCTAATTATCTTTTTAAGAGTAAAAATACTCATACCATTGGCAAACTATCTCAGTAACCTACTCAAATTAAGGGTAAATACACTTAATTTAAGAAATTTTTTTACTTATATCTGGATCGTTTTTCCAGTGAAGAAGCGCTCCATGGAGTAAAGCGCAGCATGTGTTGTTTTGTTGTTGGATTGTAGCCATTTTCAATATCCCAGTCTGAATAGCTTTGAGTCGTTGCTGACAAACAGCTCTAGCGGGAGCATCACTAAGACCTCAGCATCTGTGTTAATAAGAGGAGTCCTCATACTTTATTCATGTTTTTTTTGTTGTTATAAAGCTCATTATTTTGGGAAGTATAATTCGTTACACAAACATGCAAAACAACCAAGTGCTCTAAAACAGGCCTTGTTCTTCCTCCTTTTCTCTAAACTCAGAGATCCTAGGTGTTGGGAGAAGCGAAAAACCACGCTTCACTACTACTGCTAGTTAACCCTTTCAGAACTCATCTTTTCTTCCCCTCATGGCCAGCGTATGAAAGCGGTCAAGTTTTATTTTGCACTTGTCCCTGTGTTTGTGCTGCCAGGTAGTGTCTCTGACGGAGTACCACCGTCGGATCGATGCGCTAAACAGCGAAGATCTGCGCTCGCTCTGCAAACGACTCCAGGTGCCCCGTTTCACCGTCTGTCTGCACTGCTTCTGCCCGCACCGTCTCCTCTAGGCTCCCTGCGTCCGCTGCTGTTGCAAACAGACCCTAAGAAACAGCAATGCTAATAGTAAACAGAATCGGAGGAAAAGTTTCAGCTCTTTCTAATCAGTTAAAGTTGCAAAACCAAAAGAAAAGTTTATCATTCTGCTACAGAAACGTTGGTCTGTGAGGTTTTCACGTGACGTCAGTCTTATCTGTGTGTGTCAGGCCTTCCCTCTGTTTTACACACGCAGCTTTAAAGTCTGTCGATTTAGTTATTTATAAGTTAGCAATAATTTGCAGCTACATATGCAGATTGTATTTAAGACACATTAAGGTGGGTTGCTTGGTAAATAGTGGATTGTAGAATGCAAAAAAACTGACGAGGAGACAGAGGGAGCCTGTTGCAATGATAAGAGGGCGGAGTGAGACTCCCCTTACAAGATGAATGATCTGTGGGACAATGCAGGACGGCATTATTTGAATTAGGACTGAAACTGGAGAGGCCTCTGGCCGCTGGTGGCAAAGCGCTCCACAGTCGACCTCTGTTATCCAGAAAGATAAATAACCTGAAATGGTAAAAAAAAAAAAAAAGGAGTCACATTGAAGAGAAATTATACATAGTGTTCATTTCCTATTCACTTTCTACATTCCTGTTTCCCAGACAGCATCTCTGTCAGTGCTGCCTAACCAGTCCTGATCTTCCGGCTTTGGAAACAGACAGGCACACACGCAGCTGTCTTTATCAGATCGTTGGGTTTTTACTTAACGTCCTATCTATAATTTAGTAGTTTAAAAGAATGGACAGTTTTATTGGAGCTTTTTGTTGAAATAACCTCATCTTCTACTGCTTTTATTAATTGATATCCTGCTGTAGCTTATAGAGTTATATTCAGCCTGGCTAGCTGCGCTAGTTACACCTGTTGTCTGCTCTAAAGGTAAACCAGGAGAACAGCTGAACCCAGTCAGTGTCTGTGCTCTCTGCTCCATGGTGTGGATCGCTAACCATAATTTGCGCTTGTAGATTACCACCAAGGAAGAGACCAACTCGAAGCACGGCACATCCATCAAAGCTGAGCTGGAGCCTGAAACCTTCAAACCCAACCTCAAAGAACCCAGCGAGCTCCTAGAGGCCGACCAGATAGAGAAGGTAGGTCAGCATTTCTTGCATGTCACGTGTGAGACAGAAGCTACCAAGCTAATGCCGTGAGGCTAAAAGTTTATATGTGCAACTTTATAAACATCTCATTTTAACAAAAGGACACATTCAGCGTTTCACAGAGAAGATATGGAGGAAATTCTGTTCCTTTATTACAAGAAAACATGTTTGGTTAAAGGAGAAGTTCAGTTTTTTACACTTTTAGCCCATTTTCTGTAGTGTCCAGGATGAAATCGAATGATCGACACCAAAAGTTTGACAATTGCTCCTGTCTCTGCTTTTTGGCTCATGCAGAATCCCCCCCTGGCTGCTTTAGAATGGCTAGCATAGAGCATGTCCGATAATGTCCTTAAAACAACCTTAAACATTCTTTTTTTTAAATATGCTACTCACCGGGTCGTCAGCGCTGTTCAATGACGTTCCAAAAAAAGTTTCGTAAAGAAAAAACGTTCCTGTAGTGTTTTATTTAGCATTTTGTAAATCCCATTGAGTTCTGTAGGAATAGTCAATATTCCGCTGCCACCGGAAACGGAAATGGGGCCTGTTTACACAGTTGTAGTCTTTTCGCTTCACTCTGTGTACTCCGACGTCGAGGTGCTAACGTCTCTGTTAAACACTTTAAAAAACTCTGAAAATGGAATACGAAAGGTGGATTCTTGATTCTCGACGTCGGAGTACACAGAGTGAAGCGAAAAGACTACAACTGTGTAAACAGGCCCCATTTCCGTTTCCGGTGGCAGCGGAATATTGACTATTCCTACAGAACTCAATGGGATTTACAAAATGCTAAATAAAACAAGACAGGAACGTTTTTTCTTCACGAAACTTTTTTTTGGAACGTCATTGAACAGCGCTGACGACCCGGTGAGTAGCATATTTAAAAAAAAGAACGTTTAAGGTTGTTTTAAGGACATTATCGGACATGCTCTATGCTAGCCATTCTAAAGCAGCCAGGGGGGGATTCTGCATGAGCCAAAAAGCAGAGACAGGAGCAATTGTCAAACTTTTGGTGTCGATCATTCGATTTCATCCTGGACACTACAGAAAATGGGCTTAAAGTGTAAAAAACCGAACTTCTCCTTTAATGAAACTTTTAGAAACTTCTTGACTTAAAAAGGGTTTTATACTAACTTTGATTTGTATTTATTTTAATCTCTTTTACATTAGCTTTTTTCAGTTTATTTATATAGCGGCAATTTCAGAATCAGAAATACTTTAATAATCCCAGAGGGAAATTACTTTTGTTACACGCTCTAGTTACAGTTTTACATGATATACAACACACGTCATCTCAAGTAGGGGTCTGCGAAATAATCGTCATGACGATGCATCGCGATTCTAATTTTTGTGGTCTGCTGCATCGATTCTTGATGCCAAGTATCGATTCTTAATTACCAAAAAGGAATAAATAAAATACATGTATTGTTGGCACACATCAGCCAGAAACAAGTGGAATACAACTTTCAGTCCAGTAGATGTCGCTGCGGATACTGCGACGATTCATTCAAAAACAAAACATGGAGGAGACTGAGAAAATTTGTCCAGCTCCATCACATTCCAAGTCAGATGTTTGGATGCATTTTGGCTTTAAAATTAAAAAAAGTAAAAACAAAATTGATATGATGCACGTCATTTGCAAAAGGGGAAATGTGAAACATTTGAATGTTTCCATTTCATTGGTTTAATGGACCACTGAGTCCATGTAAACAGCACTGTTATTTTAAGTTTTATAAATCCTAAGCACTTTTTGTCAGTGTGTCCACTCCAATAATAGTAATATTTGTGTCCAGTATTTGTTTTCATGGCAATACCTTTAAAAGTTGTTTCAATAAATAAAGCTATGTATGAATTCAGTTGCGTTCAGCTATGTATCAATTGAAGACACTATACAGATCATACACAGCCAGTCAGCCACTGGTAGCTGTATTTTTTTCTTACAGTGTTCAGTGAAAATATCGCAATGCATCGTAATATTACAAGTATCGCGATGCATCGTGATAGAATTGCATCGTGGCATGTCAATTGTGATTCGGATCGAATCGTGACTTCTTTGGCAATACCCACCCCTAATCTCAAGGCACTTAACAGTTCACCAGATTGTACAGTCATTTTGATTCAATGTTTTCTATCTAAGGAAAACCAGTTGATTGCATCGACTTATTGACTCGAATGCAATCGCTCACACTACGCATGCTTGTAGCGACAGTGGAGAGGAAAAACTCCCTTTTAACAGGCAGAAACCTCCAGCAGAGCCAGGCTCAGTGTGAGCGGCCATCTGCTGAGGCCGACTGGGGTTCAAGGAGACAGAAGCAGAGAAACACAGCCAGGCAGACGAAATCCCGGTACAGAGGGAAAGGGAATGTATCTGTGAAGTGAAATATGAAAAGAATCCAATTCATAAAAATCAGAAACAGGAAATTTGATTCAACAAATTGAAAATATAAAACTTGTTTAAAAAAGAAAAGATGGAAATAAAGTTAAAACATTAATTCTAATAAAACACTTAAGGAAAATAAAAGTTGATTAAATTAATTCAGATATCCAGAAAATCGTTAAAAATAAATGTTAAAAACCTTTTTGGATTCAAATATTTAGCAAAGTTTCATTTCCAGAACACATTTTTTTTCCAAATTTCCATTTACAGAATGTGTTTCTTGCTCAGGAACATTATTGAACAAAATTCTCTTCATATATTTTGGTTGTTCCTGAACAAAAACAAACAAGCTTCCATTATAGAGTGTAGCAAATGAAAGCAGGTGGTTTGTGTGAGAGGTACGACTTCTGGGAGTAGAAGCAGCCTCTGCTGTGACAGCCGTGCGTCTGTCTACCCATGCAGCTGTTGTTAGGGAGCTGAATCCTACGCAGCGTTTCCTCACACAGAAGGAGCTGAGTAATTACCTGATGCGTCACGAAAGGCAACTGCATAAGCCGTTGGGTTTTTTGGATGGTAAATAATTAGTAATAAGATGAGTTTTATGATCCGTTTTACAGTCTGTGCTCATAAAACAAACGATTTACCGATAAACCTCAGAGTCTCTGACGTAAATCGGTTTGATGTTAGAGGTTGTGTTGATGATTTTCACATTTAGTCGCTGCTTTTCAACGTTCCTGCCTTGGGCGGCTTTATCTCGCCGTCCCCACGGCGTCTGCAGCCCTGCCTGCGGGCTCTGGCCTGGGACCGCTCTTTCTCTAGTGTCTGATCTAGATGTTTGGAGCCCCTGTTAGTCTCCTTTAAACACCAAATGGTGTGAAATGTCACTGCACATGTAATTGAGCGTCCACTACTGTGGCCTTTTGCTTCGGATGTATTTTTTTTCTTCTCTCCCTTTGATTCCTTTCTCTCTCTCTGTCCAGCTTGCCAGGAATCTTCCACCGCGGACCATTGGTTACCCCTGGACGCTGGCGTTTGGCACATCAAAGCATGGCATGAGCATTAAGACGCTGTACAGGGCCATGCAGGGCCAGGACACCCCGGTCCTTCTGGTCATCAAGGACAGCGACGGCCAGGTGAGCCAGAGCCCAATCAGAGAGGCGGAGCCTCATCCGTTCCTGCCTCTGCTTAGCTTCCTCCGCTTGTTTCCTCAGGTATTTGGTGCCCTCGCATCTGAACCCTTTAAAGTCAGCGAAGGCTTTTATGGCACAGGGGAGACCTTCCTGTTTACCTTCAACCCAGATTTTCAGGTACGACACCTGTTCTGTCATTTCAGGATTTCAAACCTTATTTCTAATCAGAGGGGAAACATGGACGCGTTAGGGTCATTCTCCAATCACAGTCAAGAATATATTTTAGAAATATTTTGATTTGTTCTGCTTCATCAAAATGTGCAGGAACATTGATGGTGGTTGTCATAAAGTTACATCATTTCAATTCGATTCAGTTTATTTATATAGTGCCAATTCACAACACAAGTCATCTCAAGGCACTTTACAGTTCATAAATATATATATAAATATGATATATAGTGTAAATAGGATATATAGTGATATATAGTATTGTTGTGAAAATGGCCGTTTCTCAATATGTGAACCTGTGTGTTCTCATGTCCTCGTGAAACGTCATCAGCCTCAGCACTAGTACTGTTCCAGTTCATAACAACAGCAGACCGAGAACGGACAAAGTCCCCGGATGTTGTTCTCACCTCTCCCTCTTTACCCAGCATGCATCAGAGCAGACTTGTCCATTCGTTCAATCCGAGATTGACAGCTGTCCCAGCATGCACTGCAGCAGCAGCTTCCAATGGAGCGCTCACAGAGCTCAGAGTATTAAGTTAAAAGTTCTCTTTTCTGTTGCTGTTGTTCAATATAAGTACATTATACTTATATTGAACAATATTATACTTTTAAACATCACTATATGGTCTATTTACTGATTTAATGCGTAGTTTAAAAAAGAATTCCGAAGATGAGAGGATCGCTGCAACCAGCAAACCTCTCGAGGTAACAGCAGCCAGGTCTAACGTTAGCCCGTCTGCAGCAGCCCTCTCTCTGCATAGCTGTGTGTGGCGAGTTGTTTTTGGCAAAATGTTTATTTGATTTCTGTTTATCTGACTGTGTTCATTATTATTCCCCCACTAAATGAAAAAAAGTCTGAATTTATTATCATGAAGAGACTATTAATAATAGGTAGTTAAATGCAGCTCCAGACGAGCCGAGCGTGTGGTGATGTCATCAGTACGCTTCTGTTCCAATAGATCCATATTTATGCTGCGTGCTCCCGTTCTCCCAGAGTCCAGACTATCCTGTGTTCTTCTCATGAACATACTTGACGAGGACATGAGTCCGTACTCGCGTTCTAGTGAATTGAGAAACGGTCAATGTTTCGTATTTCTTTTAAAATCTCATAAAATGTTAGCATGCTTAATCTCTATTTTAGAGCTAGCATAAAATATACTGAAAAAACGCCATATAAAACGGTATTTTTCAGATTATTTAAGTCCATTCAAAGGAAAAATGAGGTGATTGGAAATGAACCTCTTTGATTTTCCGCTTGTTTCCCTTCCTTCCTTTCAGCTATCGCTGCTTTCCTGCCATCAGCTCTGCTGCCACATGGTGACAGCTGGTGTGGCTGCAAGTCGGAAAGAAAAAGTTAGATTTAACACAGGGGCAGGGATTCTTTTTATAAAAAAGAAATAAAATACATGTATATATTTCAAGCACATCACACTTTAAGTAACGTCAAAGTTCTTGTTCAATCAAATTTAAATTCAGTCTTATAAGGCACAGATAGTGTAAAACTTGCTTAAAGAACATATAAAGAAAAAGACTCAATGTAAAATCACATTTTATACACTATAGATAGTGATTTATCAGGATTTTATTTTTTTATAAAAAGAAAAAAACATCAAATCGTTTTAGTTTTTTTTATTTCTGCCTGGGATATAAATTCTTTGACTGTTGGGGAATCGGCCTGTAAATAAGTCATTTCCATTGAGAGATCGCTGCTGTGCTGTTCTGCTGCTTAAACGCCACTGAATGCCTGTTCTCCACAGGTGTACAAATGGACGGGCGACAACATGTTTTTCATCAAAGGAGACATGGACTCCTTGGCTTTCGGTGGAGGAAGGTAAGACTGGAAACCAGCTGATCAGATCAATCCCTTATTGGAGAAATCTGTCCGATTTCTTAAAGTACAGTAGCAGCCATTCAAAATGGCCCTTCCCAGTCAAACTCCAGCCGAATGGCGGCCCACTTCCCTGCAACTCCCAGCAATATCCCCTCCAACTTCCAGCCACTGGCCTTCTCCTGGGTGCATAATTTTTATTCTGACTCCACCCTTACATTGAATTACAGGGTCTGACCAGGAGATGATGCTTCTCTTTAGATCTTTATGTCCACAAATCATAATAAAATATTTCAGCACAGATATTGATGTTTAAAAAAGGAATCTCAGGGGACCAGCAAAGGGCCCATCAAGGACAAGGGGAAATTTTGAATGGCTACTACTGTACCACAACAGGAGACCTCACTCCCTGCTTTTATTTTGAAAAGCTCTTCCAAGAACCCAACTATGGTTCTAAAATGGTCAAACTCAGAGGTCAGAGGGTTTTAATTGGAGGCTGCAGGGTTGCAGGGTTCTTCACGCTGTGATCCGTTCTGAGATTGAATCCTGATCATTTCTCCTGAATGTCAGGGAAACAGGACTCTCTGAGATCCGGTTTAGGTTTAATTGAGTGTGAACATATGAGTCTGTTATAAAGTCAGTGACCTTTAAGTCCATAAAACCCCCTGAACATTAGATTGATCAAAGCTTAGCTAACCAGAGGGCGCTAGCTTCAAGCTCTGTCCAACGTCTCTGTGTGTCTCTCTTCCAGCGGCGAGTTCGGCCTGTGGCTGGACGGAGACCTGTACCACGGCCGGAGCCACTCCTGTAAAACATTCGGGAACCCCATGCTCTCAAAGAAAGAGGATTTCTTTGTGCAGGACATAGAGGTGTGGGCTTTTGAATAACAGACTGATGCCCCACAGGGAAAATAAAAAAAAAGAAAGAAAGAGACGTCCTCCAAAGGATGAACCGAGGAGTGGACCTCCTTCAGAACAATGGCAACATCCCAAACCTGACTGCACATCACCAGGCCTCCCCTGTCTGGAAGCCAGCTACCGGATGCTTGTTGTGCGTTTCTACTGCAGTTATTAAGGAGCTTTGTTTTGTTTTTCTTTTCTCTGTGTGTATCTGATTACTGATTGCAGCAGATTAGGGAGAGAAAAAGAAAAGGTTGTATCTTAGAGGCAGGGTGGGGGCAAACTGGACGTCCTCCATGAAGATGATGGCGGCTGAGGTTTGGGATTGCTGCAACAGTGGATCAGAACCTCCAGGAAGCCCAACCACCTCCTTCTTGGATCCGGTTCTTTCCGTAGAGAGACCCAGGTTAGAGGGAGAGACAGGAAGCAGGAGCTGAACCCATTCCTTACAGGATCTGACATCATTCAATCCCAGAGAGTATCTGAGTAGAATATCTGAGGTGTGTGTGTTCTGGGGAAGGTGTTCCGTCTTTTTCCAGTCCAGTTTTTCAGGTTCCCCCCCCCACCAGGCTTAACTTACTGAGTATTGTGTATCGTAGTCCTCCCTTCGTTCATCATAGCACACCATCGGAAAAGCACACAGCTATAACCAGATCATCCATCGTCGTAAAGCGTTGCGTTTCAGTGGGCGTGTCCGTGTGTGAGTCCAGCGAAGCGCCAGCCCCTCCCCGGCTGGACGCTGGCTGTACTGTTCGTAGACAGTAACGTGTTGCAATAGATTTGTGGAATATGCAAATAAACTGTCCTGTGACCTCAAATAACCCGCCAGGTCGCGGCTCTTTGGCCGTCGCTTGTGGCTCTTTGGAGAGAGAAACGTGTAAAGCTTTTACGTCTCGACAAACATAATTGCTTCTCCGGGTTTCATTTGAAGGCCTGAGATATGGTTACCTGTTTTACATGCATATATGACAATTATATATTGTATATATGATTATATAAGTGTATATAATCATATATATTTTGCTGTTGAGTGTGACAGTGATATATTTGTGCTGATATTTCAGCTGTTACTATATATTGTATATTACCCTGTAAATTAATGTTAAAATAGTAGATTTGTTGCAATATATATATATATATATATATATATATATATATATATATATATATAAATACATAATACTTTATATATAGATATCTATATGTAGATATCTATATATATCTATATATATATATATATATGAGAAAAGTGTGAATTAATTGGTTGCTTCTAGCACTTTAACCTGGTTTAGGGCCTGGTTCTTAGATAATCTTAGAAGTAGCTGTACAGTATATATTTTATTTTCTTCTGTGAATAATTCCTGTTAACTGTTACTAGAAAGCTTGCTGCTATCAACAGTAATCCGCCCAGATGTTCAGTGCGAAACAGAGGATTACTCTGAGGATGTACGGGGGGTGGGGGGGGTGATGACGTCCAAGACAGCCGCAGGTCTCGGTTTATCTCCACACACGGTGAGTGGGAGACATGGCACCACCCCTCCTCCTCCCCTCCCCCCCACCCATGGAGGTTTTTTGTTTTTTTTCCCCTCCCTTTGTATTTTTCGGGCTTCCACACCAGTATTTATGTCCATGTGGGGAAGTCGCAGCAAGTAAATATGGTTACTTCTTTAATTTCACCTGAGCATTGTATCAGTGATGTACAAATACTAATAAAGCTGAAGTAATTGTTGTAACCAGAGAGATCTCTGTGGGTCTGGTTCTTCTTTCTGCTTTAGGACGTCAGTGATCTGTTGGGGGGTTTTTTTGTTTTTCATTCTGGGTCATAAAACAGGCTGAAATCAGAAGCCGACGGACTTTTCATGAGATTGTCTTTATTTTTTCAGAAAAAAATGTTTGCCTTCGATTTTTTTTTTTTTTTTTTTTTGTTTGTTTCCTTTGGTCAATATTCATAAAATATAAGTTATTATAAAAAAGGTTATATGTTTTGCATCTAAGCATGTTTTTTTTAGATTTCTAACGGTTGCAGCCCATTTAAAGCAGAGTTGAGTTACATAATATTTTCCCATATTCCCAACATCTAATAAAGCATCTGTGTGGGTGGGGGATCTAACCTATTGAGGCCTGCAGATAACGAACTGGTAACTGGAGGAGCTGCAGAGATTTGCAGCTCAGCTAAGGTTACTATTATTGTTGTCTAAATCTATCCTTTCAGTGACAAAGCCACAGGAAGCCGCATGTTTGTTCAGTCCAGATCAAAGTTTAGCATATTGTGAGAAAAAGGCAAAGCTGTGCATCACCTTAACAACTGTTTTCCTCGGTTAAACATGTCGGTGGCAGTATTATGCTGTGGGTTTTATCTGTTTTCTTCAGCAGAGATCAAAAGCTGGTCAGAATCCAGGATTCTATTTAAGAAACTGGCTCAGCATTAGATGCTGAAGCTAGCGTGATGCGTTATGAAATCTGCAGCGGTGCGTCTGTAGCTGTGAAACTGGTGGAGACGAGACCTAAACGACTCGGATTACAGGCTGGACACAGACACATCCACACAGCTCCTTCCCTTTGACCACCATCTGTCGGCCTGTGTTGGTCTAGAAGTGAACTCTGTTTTTTTTTAAGCAGAAAGTGGTTTCAATGGGAACTAAAGGCGCCTACACGGAGCATAAAGTCTCACTGATTCTTCACCAGCTGGACCTGATCGTCTGCTGACACGGAGATTCTTTTATTTTGCTGATTCAATTAAAAGGCTTGAAGTGATTTCATGTGGGTGAAATAACTGCTCTTAGCCATCGCATCTTGGTTGTAATTTAGGATTATAAATCTATTAGTGGCTAATTCAGGGGGGGATTTACCATTAGGCAATACTAGGCAGTTGCCTTGGGCCCCAAGTTCCTGGGGGCCCCAGAAAAACACTTTACATGTATGGTTAATACAGTTATTATTTATTTATACACATTATGTTTTTGATATAAATCCATTCGTTAAAACACCATCAGAGTGCTTATGAGTATTTCTCCGCCCCCCACCCCCTTCAGTGTCTACCATATTGGATCAGTCCATTTGCTGCACATGTTCAGAAAGGTCCAAACAAACAGCAGCAAACAATTTGAAAACAAACTATGCGTAGAGCAGTGCTGCCAACTTTTAGCTTTTGTTGCTACATTTAGGGACTTTTCAGACCCCTCTAGCGCTATCATTACAAAAAAAAAAGCAACTAAATCCAGCGACTTTTTCTGCTTCTGGAGACTTTGGAGACAACATCTAAAAGCAGCGAACTCTGCATTCCAGAGCAAGTAGATTGGTAACCCCGCCTCCTGCTCTCCTCTATCTTGTCTGCTGTCATGATTCATGCAGCTATTATTTCATCCAAATGAAAAATGGAGAACAGATAAGCAGGTCATGGCTTGTCTACAGTGACTAGATTATTTACTTTTGCCATTGCCTTTTTGGAAACACAGGAAGGAGCAATCAGCGAAGTTAGAATGGGTCTACTGAATGGAAAATCTTTGATTCCTTTTGAGACAACATAAGTCAGCTGAACAAATTGCCAATATAAAAAAAAAAAGGAAACAGGGAGGAAAAGGGATAAGAAGAGAGGGAATAAAAATGGAACAAATAATGTATGTCTATTCTATTAACATTTTTGTATCTATACAATGGGTCTGTTTTATGTGTTGTCTTCTCAGTTCAGAGGGGCCCCCTTTTCAGCCTTGTTGATCCGGTTAAAAAGGAAGATTGTATCACATTTATTCTGAAACATCCTGCAAATATCACTAAATCCAGGCTTTTGTGACCTGATCTGTTAAAAAAGACAGAGCGCCATCTTCTGGTTGTTTATATTAGCCTCAAAATACACTGTCATCCAACTCCTGTAAGAAATTAAATCACTGGAAAACCTTTATTTAAACTTAAATACCATTTTTATTTGTTATTAGTGTCCGTCTTAGTTATAAAAACATGTTACAATGATCACTACAGTAGAAGAATTTATTAGCAAGGCTGTCAATGTCCTGAATGTACATATGTATGTGTGCATATATATATATTTATTTAAAAATATATATTTGATATTATTTCTCTTTAATCAAAATATGCACCAAAATCCAGAAAGAAAACAATGTTTTACATAGTTTATTTACTCATAAACTATGTTAAAGTACAATTTTCTTTGAAAAAGAAAAATACAAAGGTCATCAGAAAAGCCCTTCTTAGCCTCCCCATCCCTGTGTTTCATTTTCACAATATATAAATGTATCAACATTACAAAACAAATTACAGCATAAAAGAAGCTTAAAAATATACAGCAAAGCGGCAGGATGTAAGATCTGGAGCAAACGAGGCTCCGTGTTCACAATAAGGCCTTCGTTAAGGCATTGCTCTTTAATTTGTCCCAGTTAGAGATATTCAGAGAAAGAGCAGGACAGGATTCTGCTTCGGTTCTCCAGCTACAAACATCCAACATGTACAGATGCAGAAGTGGGAGGTGGTTAAATAAATCTGCTCCTGAAGTCAAAACGGCTGCATAGTTTCCAGCGTGCATCCGTTACAGCTGTGATCATCACCAACACTAAGGCACAAACCGGGAAGTCTGGAGGGCTCCTTATGTCCCCCCCCCCCATGCTGCCCCCTAGTAGACCAGGTACTTTAGCTCAGAGTAGATGAGAGGGAACATGACGGTGCAGGCCCGGTACAGGATGGCGGCGCTCTTCCACAGCGCCCGAGGTTTGGTGCTCCACGACTCGGACTTGAAGTTGAAGTAGATGGCGTACAGCGCCACGGCGAAGAAGTGTCCAATAAGGGTCAAGGGTTTGGGTGATAAGCTGTGGAAACATGAAGCTCTTTAACCTTAAATAATCACCCAAATGAACAGTTTGTTTTATTTTTAGCTTTATACTTTATAGGCTGGAGTCATGGATGTCTCCTCATCTGCAAACATGTATGATGTGATGATGTGGCAGATTGAAGATGTATAAAAAGGATCTCTAACTGTTTATCGGGGCTCACTTCATGAGATGTGAGCCCGGTTGGTGAGCAGCTGCCTTCTGTAACTCAAAGCAACTTCTCTGATCT